CTCATGATGGCAGCATCGACTTGCATTTTTTTTGCCGAATTGATTCCCGACACTGGTCCACGTGTTTAGCACGGCCTTTCTGTTGAAGCCACCAAAGAGCTTTGGTTTCCATGTTGTCAGGACCATGATGGAAACTAGCATTGGCAGAAGTAAAGTATGATTGGCTGGCAGTTGGGGAAAATGACCCCCGCACCGCCGCACAACAGCTTGGTCACCCATTCCCTCAGCTACAGGCCGAAATTTAGCCTTGATCGCAATTGAAGAAAGACCGACTATGGTTTGACTTTGTGGTTCCCACCCATCCTGTGGCTAGGTTTGAGTTATTTGAGGTTTGGTGGGGGTGTCGCTAAAAGTGAAACTTTGGTCAAGGGATCTCAGGACCGCCCAGTTGAGGGACATCTCTGAGTACCGACATTTATTTAGTTGACTTGACTGCTGTTGTGTTGTATCTTTAGACTTTAGACTTTTTCTTTATGGAAAATCAAAGCATTTTCCACTAAACCCCCAAAAGGTTAAACTTTCTGCAGGGGGGTCAACAGCAACCAAGTTGACTGCCTTTCATTTTGCGAGCGCGTGGCTGAGGTCATTTTCATCATCGTGCTGAACCATGTCATCGCTTGCGGCTGGTACTTGACCGGGAAGTGGGCGACCGAAGTAGGCGCGGAAATCGGAAATCGACCACGGAGTCTCACGGAGAGCACACAGAGTGTAGACCCCCACTGGGCGCAACTAACATTTGTTGTCCAAACATGGACAGCCCTGTCTGGCGGTGTTTGAGCAGGTCAAAAGCAACGACTCGCTTGTGGCGCTTTACCGTTTTAGGGCGTGTTCGAATGGTTTCCGCTCTTTCTGTAGGTTTTTAGCCATTCAGTGAACCGCCCTCTGAAGCCCTTTTGCGCGGTTTTGCTGAGAGGCCGGCCCCCTGGCGACATTTCTCCTTTCAGAAGTTTCTGCTCAGCATCTCCCTCCCGTCTAACATGGAACCTAACAGACGGTGCCTTTCAGAAGAAAACGGTCTTCCAGAACCCCGGGCAGGTTCCATGTCAATAAATGAACGCGTACCATTTGGCTGCTAGTTGGCAAGGACTTTCCTTTCGTGCAATGATGCTTGACATACTTCGCCCAATGCCGATGATTGAAGGAGGTGGCGGATGGAATTCAGAACCCCGGTCTTTGTCGCTTTCTGTGCAGGTCCAATTCCCATGAGGATTGATCCCAAAGTGCGCTCAGCACCCCTCGAAGTGGCTGGTTTTGCGTTATAACTGTTAAGATGAAGAACCCGCGGGTCCAACTAGTTTGAGTACCCATGAGTACCCCAACATGGGTATTCGTCTGTCTGTGTGCGTGTTCGACTCTTTGGTTGCTTAAGGCTCCAACCACAAGGGTTTGAGACGAGTTCACCAACGGACACAGCTGCTTCGCAGCAGATCCTTTAACTTTGCAGAACAGACCGTGGGATTTTCAAGGTGGGTTTCAAGGGCCTCCCCCCCTCTGATTCTGTGGATTGTTTTATTTGAGTGGGAAGACAAGCCCATATGTTCCCCCTGACAAGTCACTTTTGATGCCATGCTGAGTGTCCTTTGCTGGGTGTTAAAAGGGGGCCCGATCCATTGTGGATGCCTGCGTGAATGAACAAGTCTACAAGTCGGCCAATTATTGTTTTCGCACCCCATTGTGCGGCAATTCCATTGAGTCTGTTCCGGACAGGCCTTTCCCGGAGCTGGCTCACAGACACGGTCAACGGCAACCTCTTGGCAGAGGATAAGCTGCACCGCGGCGCATTGGGAGCTTTTCCAAGTGAAGGGACCGCCGCAACCGGCTTTTGAACATTCCCTCAGGCCAGGATTTCGGGGTTTCCTAATATAGGGCTCAACACCAAAATCCAGTGAAGCAAATCTCTTGGCCCAGAGGATCATGCAGGCAGGCAAACACATGCTCCGGCAGGCATGGCAAACCCACCCGAATGGGAAACGAGAACCTGCGCAGTAGCTTTTTGAGTTTGGTCTGGCTCAGGAATTGGAGAGGCGAAGGAATTGGTCTACAGAACTCAACCATTGGCGATGAACTTTCGCTCGCGCTTTCATTTCCAGAAGCCCCTGGAGCCCAGGTTTGCGGCTCCATGATGGAGGGTGCATGTGGCATCAGTGCGGGCATGAGATGCTCCGAATCGCATGGCACTGGTAACAGCATCCCAGGTTTTGTTGAACTTGGCACGTCTATCAGGTATTAATTTGGTACAATTCAATAGCCCAGAATCTTTTGGCTAGGCAGCATGGGTTTCTTGAAGACTGCAAGTAAGCCAAGCACATGGAATTTCTATGTCCGCCAGGGAATCTGTGGGACTCGTTGGGTTATGCCTTGTCAGCCTCATGTCTGGTTGGAGGATTTCTTGTCCTGAGAGTGAAAGGCCTCGATTGATGTTCATCCACGTAGCAGCCTTCCGCTGATGGGTTGCAATTTTGAATGCGGAGATCCGCCCCATTTTATGGCAAGGGGATTCTCCCTTAGTAACAACCTTTATATAACCCTAGGGGGGGCTATAGGGGGGCCGGCTATCCCTGGATAAGCCTAGGTAAGTTAAGGATAATAAGGATAATCCCTCAATAAGGCCTCATGAAGGAGTTAACAAGGGAGTTAGGCCCCTTCCCAGTTGCGCCCCGCGCCAAATTCAACTGGTTGCATCGGCACATGGGGGTCCAGATGCAATGCTGACGATTACGCCCATAGCTCTTTTTGACCCTGCGCTGGAGTCTCTTCGGGGATCAGTTCTGATTGTATTGCACAGGCGTGCTTGACGCGTCGCGTAAAAAACCCAATATGTCTATCTCATATTGCTGTGCCACCAAACTAGTGGACCCCGAGATGGTTTCCTTTAAGCCAACCCATCCAACCCCGCAAAAAGGTGCCGAGCCTCGAACAACAATCCCCACAGCGTGTTTGTGTCGAGTCCGAGGTATCAGTACACCACCTCCCTTCACTGGAGCCTGACACAGCGTCTCGGACGCAGGGCGATCACCCTGTAATGGAGGGGGGGCGGTTTATGTGACAAACTTCATGGTGTTACTTGTTTCATACAGACAAGTTCGTTGAATTCTGACGTATTATATAGTGATTTGCTACATGTTTCAAAGCTTCATTTGTGAGCAGTAGTTGTCGCTGTTGTATGTGACATGAAGCTGCAGGTTGCCGAGCTGCAACATTCTTGGCTGCGACTTTTGAGGCGTTTGGCGATGGTTTAGCACTTACAGGCTGAGTAAGTTGCTGATGGCAGCTGTGCAATGTCCTGTTCGCCAGTCGTGTGTTTAATCGAAAGAAGGTGTATGATCGAATTCATGGGTGATACTGTGGATGGGCGAAATCCTGCACCACTTTGAAATCATGGTTGAAACAACTGTTTGTTGGTATGTACTAGGGAATCATCAGACACCAGGGTTTCTGAACGGTGGTGCGAGACTCGCGGATTTCGCAACCATCCATAGTATCTACTCGAGCAACGAAGCCAAGTTGTTTGTCTTTGGCATTGACGTCCACCGACTGGTTTCCCTTCTGTTCCCGGTGGCACCTCCTCAGGTATGTTGCAATTCGAAAGGGACCAAAGCTGTTTTGTTTTCTTTTTTTTGCTGTTGTTTCTTTCTTTCTTTTTCTTGTTTTTTTTCAGTTTTTGTTTCGTTTCTTTCTTTTTTTGCGGGGACCAAAGCCTGGGTTTATCCCATGATCAACTCCTTCCCCGATGTCGCGCCGAGCGCCGTGAGGTTCACCCCGGCGTCCATGGAGGTCTCGGCCAGGAATGTGCCAGAGAGGGTGCCCTCCGTCAGGAGGAAGGGATGGTGAAGAAACGGCCAACGATTCGAGGCGAAGAGTTTTTTTTTTTAGGCACGGCCAGATATGTTTTGTTTGAGAAACAGGGCAGTTTCCAGTTTTTCCACTATGTTTCACTAAAAAAAAAGAAAAAGTCAAACAATAAAATAAAAGATAAACTTAGCTTGGTTCCATGTGCAGTTGATTTCTCTTTGGAGACGTTTGAGTTCTTGGATTCCAGCGTTTTCGCTTTCAACTTTTCAGTTTTGCTCAGCTCCTCTTTTTTTCAAGAACCCTCCAACGCCTCCAACACACCTGTTGGGCATACGCCGGACAACTGCGCTCAGAAGCGCAACGCTTAAGGCCCGAAAGTCGGCAAGGCGCTTTGGTAACTCGGTTTCCTTCACCGGGTTCCCTGTAGATACCCTCCCAGCTAACATGGAGAGACCCGTGTAGAAAGACTACTTTCCTCTTGGAAAGGGCCTTTTTGCACTTTCATGTTAGTTGGTGGGAGGGTACCCTTTTGCTTTGTTTCCTTTGAGACATAGGGAGCTGGAGAACTGGTGCAAACACGTCACGAGGAATGCTGCAATGAAGTGGCTGCAGCCCAAATTACTGACTCCCATGGGTTTGATAGTGTCAGGTCGGGGCCGCAACCTGCTTTAGGAATCGACTCGGTCTGGGGCATATTTGCATGGTCCAACAAAAGCAAAACCAAGGTATGCAACGACTGAGGGTGGTGCATTACGTGATCCACAAGGCCCTTCAGCCTTTCCAGTCTCAATTACCTTGGGAAGTCGTGGGACAGGATATTTGCACCTGGGCGGCTGTGTCAGGGTGGCACAGCGTGGGCGTTTACATGCGGTGGTCGGAAAAGAATTGATGATGAGAGTCTGATTGAACAGCGTAGCGCAAGTAGCCTGTGTGTGCTGTCCGGAAGTATTCATGGCGTGTGTGTGTGTGTGTGTCGTGTCTGGTTGCTTCGTTTGGTTCACTTGCACCCTTTGGCAAAGGAAACTTACGAGTCGAAGTTGCATCGAGGGACCCTGTGGATCTCACGAGGTACTTTCCATCGCAGTCCTTTTCTTTGCGCTGATCACCTTCTCATCGTTTGTGCTATCCTCAGCGTCCGTCTTGAGATCTTGAGAGCAGGAGGTTCAAGAAGCGGCAGCTCCCAGCCATACCCTACACTTTGAGACTTTGGGGGGCCTAAAAGTGGTGGTTTTCCTTTTTGATTCCCTTGGAAGCCAAAAAACACAAAAACAAGTTCCCCAAAAAGTGACACACCCAGACGAGGTGTATGAAGAAAACGATCAGTAGCATTCCTTGGGCGCCCGGAATTGGGATGCCTATGTCGTATACAGAGCCGGACCGAGTGCTGGTGTGGAGTATGAGACCCACGAGCAATTTCATTTTGGGCGTGGCTCAAAATTGAAGAGCTAGGGTCTAGGGTTACGCAGGTTTTGGTCTTTTGTTCCACAAGGTGCCCTGTGGATAAGATTTGTTTGGGCCACAGCCATTTGTGCTTGCAACTCCCTCGAGTGACTGTCGGAGGGTTGATGCACCAGCTAGCTATTGAGATCGGGCATTGAGATCGGGCATGTCAGCTTGCTGCGAAACCAATCGGTTCTGCAAATTGAAGTGTTGTTGTTTATTGTCCCCAATCTATCTGATTTTTGTTTCTTCTTCCTTTTTTTCTTTTCTTTCTGGGAACATGTTCAGCCTCATTGCTTTGACACGTTTAATCTTCAAACTTCTGGCGCATGTGACCTTAAGTTCGAGTTGCACTCAGCATTGAATAGGCCATGTTTGATCTTAGGCAGCGTCTCTTTTGGCGGATAAGTCATTCTTGTCGGGTGGCCCTAAAGCTTGACAACACACCACGATGCTGTTTCAGAATGAAGCTGGATATACTTTGTAGTCTGTCCCATTCTGGCAGTTGCCGTGTTTCGTGCACAGGCCCAACGGCATGTCCTGCGGAGCCAAATGACTTTTGTTCCTTTAACAGCCCTGTCAGGCCATTTTGTTTGTTTGTTTGTTTCATGATCCTCTTTTGCGTTCCATGTTTTATAAGTTGTTTCATGTGTTTTATATTTTGTTTTGGGCCAAGTTTGCTACATGGGCCTGGTGTTCCTTGTTGTGCTTCTTGATGCTCGCTGTTTGCTTCTGTAATATAAGAGGTAAGCAAACACTCCACCGTATGGTCATGTATTATCTTATGAACATGACTTGAAATTGTGTTGCAGTACAACACAACCTCATGTTGAACATCATTTGTTGGCTTTCCTAAAGAGACCACGAAGAGCCTTCTGTCCGATCCTTGACCGACTGCGCCAAGGTTGGAAGCATTACCACATCGATGACGGCTCTGCGCAGCATGTGTCACGGCGCAATGGAATCAACTGGATTTTCTGGGTGTTCAGAATACATCCTCAATGCTGCCAGATGGTAGTGGTTTCCCCTAGTGGCGTCCCACCGGATTGCGGATCAGCACCCCCCCCTCCCATTTTGAATAGTCCAGAAATCGGCGGACTCCCCATTGTGTCGGTTCCTTTCGCATCCCTTCAAAGCAACTCCAAGACGGGTGCCCATGGTGCCATGGGTCGAAAGTCTTTAGTGGCTCGAGGCTCGGGTTTTTGGTGAAAGTTCCCTGGACCTTCGAGTCGTTCCAGCTGCGCGAGTTGACAGAACTCGATATGTTTCCAAGTATCCCCGACAATTGGTGGTTCCTTTCAAAACTCGGTTTGAACGATGTGCAAAAGGGGGCCCTCTATCACGATTGTTTGTTGGGAAGATCACGTTGGGGATGTGTTTGGACTAGTATTAAGATTGCCGCTGGGAGGTAGAGATTGGAAACATCAAAATAATTATTTAGTGAATATTAGCAAATTAAATAGTGAATGGGAATAGTGAATTAAAACAATTGCGAATGGACATAGTGAATGGGAATAGTGAATGGGAATAGTGAATGGGAATAGTGAATGGACATACGCCTACATGGCGAGGTGACTAGGAAAAAGCAAAACAACACTAACCTGCATTACATTTCACTAAACGTCACTAAATTTCACTAAATATCGCAAATGCAATTTAGTGAAAATTAGTGAAATTTAGTGAAACTTAATGAATGAAATTTTAGAAAGAGATTCATTAAATTTCACTAAATTTCATTAAATTTCATTAAATTTCACTAAATGTCACTAAATTTTACTAATTTTTGCAAATCCAATTTAGTGAAAATTAGCGAACTTTAGTGAAATTTAGTGAAATTTAATGAAATTTAGTGCAATTTAGTGAAATTTAGCGAAACTAATTAAATTGAATGAAATTTTAGAAAGATATTCACTAAATTTCACTAAGTTTCACTAAATTTCGCAAATGCAATTTAGTAAACATTAGTGAAATTTAGTGAAATTTAGTGAACTTTGGCGAAACTAATTAAATTCAATGAAATTTTAGAAAGAGATTCACTAAATTTCACTAAATTTCACTGAATTTCGCAAATCCAATTTAGTGAAAATTATTGACATTTAGTGAAATTTGGTGAAATTTAGTGAAATTTAACGAAACTAATTAGATTCAATCAAATTTAGAAAGAGATTCACTAAAATTCACTAAATTTCAATAAATTTCGCAAATCCAATTTAATGAAATTTAGTGAAATTTAGTGAATCTCGTTCTAAAATTTCATTGAATTTCATGAATTTCGCTAAATTTCACTATTTTTTCTAAAATTCACTAAACTTCACTAAGTTTCACTAAATTGGGCATGCGAATCTGCAAATCCATGTTTCCCAATTCACAATTTTGATTCACTAAATATTTCATTCACTATTTTGATTCACAAACTATTTCACTATATTTCACTAATTTAATTCAAAACATGTGTTTCAGTGTCTGCCTGGTCAGGCAATCTTAAGACTAGTAAGTTAGTCGGGGAATATATCTTACACACAATTGTTTCGGGGAATCTCTATGACACCCGGGTAAGATACTGAGCATACTCGTTTTACTCCAATACAATTCCCAATAGCATATGTTAGAGTTTCTGAAAGGATATTTCGGGTTTGACTGCTACGGTTTGGACAATCACACAGGGGACCAGAGGTTTGATCCATATTCCCTCCAGCTGTTGGTCAGCTGGTTCTCATGGCAATTCGCTTGGCTCGCGGAATGCATTGGGAAACTGCAAAGCTGTTGGTGCTAGAAGCAGATGTAGCCTCTTGTTTTTGAGGTGTAAATGAAAGTAAGGAATGGAGAAGCCTTCGCCCCTTTGCCCCTGAAGATAGCGGAATCTCGCTCCACGTAGCTTGAACTCCAAAACTGGGAGATCTTGTACGCCGAGGCGTGCCGACACCAAGAAGCAGTTCTGGATGCTGAGACGTTGCCTGCGGAGATTGGTGAAACAGCGCAGCATCTGCTTTCAACCACCCGTTGACTTCCCTTGAATGCGCGTGCAGGGAGTCGAGTCCAAGACAGGGTCCATATTTGCTTATGATCCGCGTGCTTATGTCTTGAATATATTATACTGGTGCCATCAAACTATTTTGCGGGTTGTGCCCAAGCGCATATGTGTTTGTTGCGCGGAGATTCATTCATACCGCCCATGCCTTGCCTGTTAGGCCTAAATCGTACTCCGAACGACCCCGCTCCGAGGTTATTTGGGGTCGAAGAAGATCTCGCCGCGCGTTTGCAAGAGGAACAAGCCTTGCATTTGGACTAGGGCGCAGAGTGGAACACGGGCTCAGCTCAAGCCGATATATAACGTATCATACATGTTTGAACGTTTGTGCGGGCATGCCTCAAGTTGTATTCTCCAAATTGAAGCTTGTGATTGCGTCTAGAGACCCAGAAGGCCCTTTGGGTTGGGGCTCAGCAATGTTAAAGCCTTCATTTCCCAAGCAGTTTGCAGGAGGCAGTGGCTTTCTTTTGAGCCTTGAAATGTCAGTACGGCACTGTTTAAGTTTTAAGTGTTCACTCGCCTGAGATGGACATTATCGTTGCGGATCACAGTAGGCAAAACATGGTAACCCGTTTCCTAGCGAGGCAAGCAAGCATCTTGATTCTTTAGACCTGCGTTCCGAACTTTCGTATGCAACAATGCGGCCAGCGACATGTCCTTCGACAAAGATGACTCGGCCACTCTGCCCAGCATATGGGGAAGGCCCTATGAAACAGGTTGATGTCCATGGCGTGTTTTACTCGTCTTTGCCAATGCGGGTTGCAACTTTGCTACGGCGGTGTGTTGGGTATGGGGGTGTTTTTGTTGAGGGTGCCTTGTTGGGGTCAGTTTTGACGAGCATCCAAAGGAACACACACCCATTTTGATGGCTATGTTGACAGAGAGAGAGAGAGAGAGAGAAAGAGAGAGAAAGAGAGAGAGAGAGAGAGCGCGAGAGAGACCATATGCCCCGTGTATCCGAGCGTCTCGTTTGTCTCAGGTACGCGACTCGATCACGCATCATCAAGTTTTTGGAGTTCCAGTCGGCGAAGCGGTCGGCGGAAGTCAGCCGCTTGTGCTAAGAGATGGATTTGCCTTGGGCTTAACACGCGACTTCGCGAGCCTACGGTTAACCGCGTCCCCCACAACACAACTCTTCAGATAAGCCGACAAGCCTGACAAAAGCTCGAATGAATCGATTTTCTGGTCCTGTGTCATTAGGGAAGCCATTGTTGTGCCGATGTTCTGCTTGTTCGGGAGGGGAGTGTCGTATGCCTAAACGAACCTCGTCTTTGGTTAACCAAGGATTTGCAAGGTTTTTCCTTGAAAGCATGTTTCTTGAGTGCGCAGATGAAGTGCTTTCAAGTTTTCCAGTCCCCAGCCACAAGTTGCCCATGTTGCCAGGCCTGGCTTGACACGCATCTTCTGATAGGGATTGCTTGCGCCGTCGGCTCTTGTGCCTTCCTTTGCACGTGTTGCGCCAGATGTTGCCACGCGAACGCCTGGGAGCCGTTCTTGGCACGGGCGATCAGGTAAGACCTGTGCATGCCAACGACAAAGACGCTATGGGACATCCCAGCTGGCCTCAGGGCCTTTGGGGGGGCCTTCGTGTTTTTTTTTGCGAGGTAGCACTTGCCAGGCACGGCCTTATGGCCCTGAAGCCCTGGACATGGACAGTAAGGGAACAAAAATGGGCGGGGGTGGGGGTCATTTCTTCCCAGCTTCCCAGTTGGCCTTTCAACCTTTGGGCCTTTTTGGGCCCAAACACCTGGCGGGGGGGGTTGCACAAGGTGTGGAGAGCATTGAGTCTGGCTGGCGGGTCTTACAGCTTTGGGACCTGTGCAGGAGATCGTCCGTTTCCAGGATGTTTAAAAAACCAAAAGGAAGCCAACCATTTCTGTTGCAAGATAGTTCTTCACTGTTCTTCATGTCCATTCAGTTTGCTTTTTTGTGGTTTTGCTCATTATTGGGATCCCCTGTTGGTGTGAGACAACCCCATGCATGTGTTAGATGTGGTGGCCGGCTTTTACAAGTCCATGGCGACCTATTCATCATGTGTTTGCCATCCAACACCGAGTCCTCATGCTGACATATTGAATTTTCCAGGGCAACTAAAAAGTGAACATACTGTGGATGGACAGAATCCTGCACCAGATTGAAACCTTTGTTGAAACCATTGTTATACAAGGCAATCATGGTGCAGGATTTGGATCATCATTCCATGGTGCAGGATTTGGTCCCTCCACAGTACTCATAGCAAAGCTGCCCAGCTCTTGGAGCAACTGTATGTGACCACCTCGTCGCTTCTTTTTTTTGCTCAGCCGGGGAGCGCTTCCCTTGAAGCTCTCCCCGAAAGCCTTTGAGTCTTGCGGATGTCCAAGCATTCCAGCGACTTCCATGACCTTTTGCAACGCTCAAAAGCGTTGAATTGTTTCATTCTGCTTCCTGCAGGCTCTTGGCTTTGTGTTGTTTTGTCATTTTTGCCCTTCCCCCCCCCCACCCTCCCCCCTCCCCGAACGGTCATCTGTGGTCGGCCGAAAATCAGGGGTGCCAGCCCAGACCCAAGCTTTCCAATGTTGAAATTCGCAGCAGCCGTGATCAACAAGGCATTGATCCCATCGAGACTTCCAGTGCTCAATCGTCATGGGAGCTGGGGGGGAGGGAGGAGAGGGGGAGGGAGCCCAAATAAACCCTAAGCTTATTTGGGCTCCCTCCCCCCTCTCCTCCCTCCCCCCCAGCCCCCATGAAATCCGGAAACAATGAAGTGAGACGTTGACGGGTGGAGTGAGCACCTGGATAAGATGAACATGTGATTTACTTGGCGATCAGCTACCTCTGGCAGGCGTCAATAGATGTCGCCCGTGTCGAAGATGTTTGAAGGATCTGCAGATATCTGCAGTCATCCCTCAACCCTATCGTGGATTGTTGTTTGGGGGACAGCCTGGTGCACTTCTTGTTTCTGAAGATTGACTGGGACTTTTTGTTTCTGGCATTTACTCATATATATATACATATATATATATATACATATATATATATATACATAATATAAGTATATATGTGTACATATCTACAAATATTCAACACTAGCACCACCCTCTTGCCAGGACCCCTATTTCATTTTTGTCCGGGTACTAAAGGCCGTTGTCCAGCTGAATCAAGTTGCGGATTGGCGACACACATGCCAGGATTCTGAACATGCTGTCAGTGCCTCTCCAGAACTTGCTCCAGTATGAGCTGCGCAAGCAGTATATTGAGGCTGGGCTGACTGGACCGCTTGCTTGCACTTGGGATGTCAGAACTGTTTTGTTTTAGGCTGGGCTGACTGCAGCACTTGCTTGCAGTGAGGATATCAGAAACTCTTTCTAGTGGAGCCTTGCTCACAGGCGGGCGACAACCAGGGTCATGTCAAAGAAGCTGAGTACCACTTACCTTCTCGGCTGTGTGATACTAGTTGTTGCTTGCGCGCTTGCAGCAGTGACAACATGAAATCAACATGTCGAGTCGCGCACGAAGCTTCAATCATGTTTGCAATCAAGCCATGTGAGCAACCATTTCTGCAGATCAACTACGTTGAGTCAACTAAGTCGACACATGAAACCGCCGAAGGGAACGCTCAAGTTCTTCGAGGCCCCATTCTTGAACCGAGAAATTTCCCGCAATATGGATGTTGACAGCTCACAAGATTCCAGGGCCCAGAGGGCGAGAGGGGCTTTGTCTCAAAACTGGGCAAGGTCCAAAATGGTGCTTTCATGGTTGTTGTTGGGAAACATTTTACATGTTTGCTTCTTGTGGTTTAGTGGGAAACTCCAAAGTGTGCCCTGGTTTAGTCACACCCAGTTCATCGATCAGATGTTGTTTCCTGTCATCTCGGGGTGTCATATTGACAAACCGACTGCGCTGTAAGCCCACAATAGTTTAGTCCGCTGGCAGCGCATGCTTTGCCTTACTTCTTGCCAGAGCATCTTGAGTAAATGACGTCTGATGTTGTTGACATGGAACCAGCCCCGGGCAAGAACTCATACTGTATAGCGAAACGCCCCAGTGAGGCCATGCTTAAGAACATTTGGTACCAAAAGGACGCACATTTTCCTAAAGTCGCAGACCGTGATCTCAAGTGTACCTTCATTCAGAGCTCGGTGCTCGCTAGGCGCATCCCTTCTTCGCATACCTTCAGGCGGCCGTGCTCATGCCACATGCCGACTTGGCCACCAAAGGTAAAGCAACGTCACGCAGTCCCGCCCCGGTGAGCTGAAAAAGAGGTCTTTGTTTTGCCCTTTTTGGGAGACTCAAGCTTCACTGGACCTGTTGGGAGGACCAGTTTGAGGAGATGCTACAATTTTGACTTACTTCTGAGTCCATTTCAGCCGTGATACTTCTGGCAAGGAGTAGATTGCCTGTGGCTCTTTGGTTTGCTGACATGGCCCTTCAGTGCGAGCTAGTTGTCTTGACTAAGGGATGTCATGTTCGATGTTGTCAGAGGGTGTTTGCTATCATTTGTTGTCAACCCATTGTTCAAAGTACAAGCAATATGCTTAAAGTCGACTGGCTATTTTCTGAGAAGAGTGATGACCTCTGGACAGAAAAGGCAGGGCACGGCTATGTGGAGCTCGACATGTCATTGCGAGTATTGCCCATGCTCACATGAGCCGGGTTTGTCTCATGGGGTAAAGGGGTTTGTCTCCAAATGGTGGTAAAAACCCGCAAGCCAAAAGGTTCCCACCCTGAACAGCGACGCCTCCACAGGAACACATGCGGCCCATCATGATCCGCTTGACCTCCCGAGCTCCTCGGCTCGGCATCCATCGCCGCTTTGTGGGGCCAAGGAAATCGGCCGAGGCCGTGCGTAAGCGTCGTGTCGGTTTCCATCTGCCAGGTTGGTAACATGTCAGGAGGGCACGTTTGAGAGCAGAGGGGCAATTTCCGGGCAACTGGTTACAGCGGATTGGAATGAAAATGGTAGGATCCTTTTTCAGCCTCGCTATGTCAAGTCTTCAACCTGAATCTATCTGAGTTTTCTGGGTTTGTGGAGAAAGCATCGGGGGAGAGATCACAGCAAGGGAGATCATCAAGGTCAGGGTTGCTTGTTGCGATCTGCTTAGCAGTTACAACCTCCAGAGATGTGAGCAGGCAAGGCCTGAAGGGGAAGCAAGGTAGCCTCAAGCAAACACGGGCTGGCTAGGCACCACTTGACCTATCCACGTAGCCCTTCCATTCCCCTGTTGAGCTTTTCGGTGAGGCACGGGTCGGCAGAATCCTTCTGTTGGCAAGGATGGACTTCGTACCGCGTCACTTCGAGTGACCGCACAAAAAGGTGGCGCTACGCCATCCGGAGGGCACGTTACACGTGTCAAAGACTTTTGAAAGGGGTTCTTGCTTGAACTCGCGGGCCCAACTGGTGTCCCTTAACCCTAAGAAAGCAAAAGGGGGCCAACCTTAAACCAACCTGTTAAACCAACCTGGCTGTTTCCTCAAAGAAGACACACCCTCCATGGCCTTTTCAGCAACCACTCGCCCGAAAGCAAGGGGCTCGCTTGGGCGCGCCCGAGGTGCTCAAGTTCACAGCCTTCGCCCCGGAGGCAGACCTCGCAAGTAGTTGTTCGGGCTGGGCACACGGCTCCAGGGGAGTCTTTTTGCCACCTTGGGTGGCAAAAAAAAATGATGGGACCCCCTTGCAGTGAAGAGTTTTTCCTTTTTGCGGGGGGGTCGCCCAAATTTTCTCCACAAGAAGGCGGCAAGAAGAGCTTCCCCCCCCGCACGGCCTCCATGGGGCGTCCATTTTTTTCGAGCCTGGTGCCCTTTTTTTTCTGCGGCTCGGGGAACCCAAAGGAAATCCCCCGGCATGTTTGGGGGTAGGGAAGCTTATGACACCATGGGGGTAGATTGGGATGTTCACTGGGGGCTAACCGGGGTCTTGACCCATGGCCATATAGACAGCCCTCTAAATTCCGCTGGACATGCTGTGGGAGGAACGTGGGTGTATTTGTTGAGAATACCCTTCTTGGGTAAAGACATTTAAGCTTTTAAGGGGGAAGGGGCGCCCTAGTTTAAGACAGACCAACATTACTGTGTTCAAACTAGTCAATCTTGTTTTGTTTGCCACGTGAAAGCTATGTGTTGCCTGAAGCATGGCTAGCTGCTTTGTTGGCAGTAGACGCGCCAGTTGTTCTTGTTTGCGTGGACAAACATGTCGATGTCTTGGTTCTTTCGCAGTGACTTTACGTAAATCTCACTTGGGCTGTCATACTTTTGTTTCCGTCAACGCAAAGCAAGTCGGTCTTAGCACGATCCAAACCAGTCTCACATCCTCACAGAACGGAAGCCGTGTGAGTGTGAGATAAGGGCAAACGCTGCAGCGCAATCGGAGCGGAGCCAAACCGCCCGTTGCTGCCACTTCAGGACGTGGTTTTCCGTCCTGGGGAGGAGTCTACGTCCCTGCGGGAGGGCTCAGTACCTGTTGTTGCTTACCCCCCAGCTCATTGCGCACAGCTGAGAACAGCCGATGATTGAAACAATGACAACTGGGCGTTTCCAGACTTGCCCCATTTTGCGTTTGGTGGGAGTCCTCGATCAAACGGAACACAACATGATTGCAGTCTTTGGTTTACTTAATGGCCGAATTTCCACATGTCGTTGGCCATTCAAACTTGCCAGGTTGCTTGGGGACGTTCAGGTTCCGCTTGAAATTGGACTTGTTCAGGGAATGTGTGTGCGTGTGGGAGTGTGGATGCAACAAAGCATTACATGCGGCTCAAAGCCGCAATGCTTTGTGACCTCTGGGTGGGGAGAGTTGAATTGGCCCAAGCTGCGAAGAAATGGTAAAACTTGACCGTGAGGGCGCATGAGGCTCTCAAATCGAGCGCCTTCCTGACATTGGGTGATATTGTCCCTCATTGGTGTGAAACCTCAGGGGAGCGCCACGTCATCCTTGCGTGCTGCAATGCTTACGTTGCAGTCTCATTGATGTCTTACAACGGCACTTATTTGTCCATGGTGCCTGGATATGGGGCATCCGTATCCCTGATTACTGACTTTCCAAGATGCGCAGTTTCACCTTCAACAGAGTACAATGCTCGACAACATGCTTAGATGGAAATCGTCGTTTCACACATCCTGACACTTTGAACAGTTGTTCATAGAAGATGGGGAATCAACTATGGTCGGCAGGCTCATTTTAGACACATATGAAACCCTCAGCAAAATCAATAATTGCCTTTGCGCGCCTAACCCAAAGATGCAGGACATGTGGAGTTTGCCTGCAATGAGCATGTGATTTTCAGATTGGCGTCTTTGTATCAACGCGCTTGGCAGAGGTTTGTTTTCTTGACGTGCTGAGGTATGTGGTGCAGAGCGGAGACATGGAGTATCGCATCGGGCATGGCGTGCACAAGGGCCAGCACACCATACTGCCTGCCCGGCCGGTTTGTCGGTGTGTGAAACCCCGGCCCTGAGGAGAGTTTTTGGGTTTTCTCAGAGGATCGTAGTCCTCGAGATGATTTGACTCATATGCATTTTGCCATGGACGTTTTTTGCATGGACGCACGAAGCTCATCCCACCAAAATAGGGCCCGAGCCGTCGAAGAGTACCCGCGTCATGATTCTAGACTCATCTCGACAGAGGCAAAGAACGGGTTCCAGAGTGTTGTTATATGAATCCGCCCCTGGAAAGCGCATGCTCTTGGGATTGGTAAGGCTTGCTCAGGCTCACTCAGGCTCCCTAATGTTAACCCCGGATGAATAAACCCCCTGGTTGATTAATAGGGGGGTGTCCAATTCCTTTCAGTGGTTGGATTCAGACCACTTTTGCGGTGGGAACACCCCCCTATGGGTCAACCCTTCTGCGGACTCCCCATCCTCGGCTTTGGCCCAGGCAGGGATTCGGCTGGGTCTCAGAGGCAGCGCTTTGGACCAACTGGCGGCGAACCGAGTTCCCACAGTTCCGAGTTCCGCGAAAGTCGTCACTTCGCCCGGGGAACTTTTCTCAATTTATCCAGTGCCGCGCCTATGGGGAACCCCGTTTCAGCTTGAAAGGGCTGGCAAAAGGGAAAGATAGGTGACGACCATTCTGGGAAGAATTACCTGAAGAGCGGTCCCACTGGCCTTGTTTGCTTTTTGTCAAATGACTTGCACTGAGGCTGCAGGATCCTTCGCCGTGAACGGAAAATCATGAGACTCCCCTTACACAGGGTTTCTGCGCGGACAGAGGAGTTGCTTTCAAACATCAGGGGCCAAGAGTAATTTGTGTCCTTCTGGGCCTTTCCATCACAACGCGGAGAACACCTCCTGATCTTCCGGTTGCGTGAATCTCTGCTGCATTTTTGTTGGTTTAAATCAATGACACCAATCGTCAAGTCACTCTGGCCAACTGTGCCGTCATGTTGGTTGCCAATGTGGCGTCACGTTCGCTAGATCACAGACACCAATCATTGAGTCAAGCAAGTTAATTGAAGCAAAGCATGTGCTGAGATGGCCTCACATCGGGAACTGATATTTGCGAGGTGCCAAACAAGGGGAGGAAACTTTACTCATGATGGGATTGCCAAACACCAACGACATGTTTGTTTCGGGTTTCGGACATTGAGGAAACATGGGAAAGGAGCATGAAACACACCGGGATTCTTGGTCTGCCTTTTCCTGTTGCTTTTCTCTTGGAGTAAACGTTCAGGTTACCCCTTGGTGGTTTGGCTCCGTTTGGGGAAATGGCACCCCTGGTTCTTGTAGAGGGTAGATGGGAAGCCAGCCCGGATCACCAAACCACCGATTCGGGGGCGAGTTTTGAGGTGGCACCGGGGTCAGTTCACCTGCCGCACTGCCTCCTGGGTTGGCCTTATCAAGCCAGGCGCCGGGGGGTGGGCCTTTGCAGGCGTTGTGGGGTTTGCGACGGAGTGGTTGATTTTGGCACAAAGCTCAGTTCAGAGAAGGTGTTGTTTTGGGATTCCCATGTGGAAATGATTAAACACCGAAGCCCAACTCCCTGGTGCGATGGGTAGGGAAGGGAATGACCCCGTAGACCATCCAACTGGTGGTTTCCTTGAAGGGGATTCCCGTATTCCCTACTGAGCTCCAGCAAGAAAGTCGCCCTTGGAATGACCCTTGGAATGATGGCAGTCAATGTTGGTTTTGGGGCTTCCCTGTAAGCAAAGGTTACGGCCTGCTTTGGGTTAGCAAAAACAGAGGGGGCCTAGCGGATCATTGGCGAGACTGCCTAATGTCTGACCTGGACATTGCTGCTCAAGTGCGAGTTTTGCAATGTGCGAGTTGGGCGTTGATGTACTCCTGGTTGCATCAGGGCTTTGCCATTTGGGGGTGCATTGCATGCCTTCCAGTGCTGGCTAATCTGGACTTCAAAGTCGCCCTTTGGAATGTGTTCATAGGCGTCCTTTTGAGGTGATTTTGGCTAGAAATAGATGGCACTGGTTTAAGTTAGTTTGATGCCATTGACCAGGGCCATCTATTTTCCAAAAAAGGACACATGAATGTGTTCCTTTGCTGGGTGACAACCCAGAGAGATGGGCGGCTCACTGAGATGGTCGCCATGCCGAATCCAACCAGCTGCCCTGCAGCCTTCCCTGGAGCTGCCAAAATGTACTTTGTATACTACACCATACCTCACTTACTTGCACTGAAAAGCTGCGACTTTCGAGCCGGAGCTGCCAAAGTGTATTGCGTATACTACTGAACAGTTTCGACTTTCCAGCTGGAGCTGCCAAAATGTACTTTGTGTACTACACTTGTACTGAAAAGTTGCAACTTTCTAGCCGGAGCTGCCAAATGTACTTTGTGCGCTACGCTTGTGCTGAAAAGTTGCGACTTGCGAGCTAGAGCGCCAAAACACTGCGAACGATGCTGTGGAAAAAGCGGACACTGACCGATACTAGGGCATAAGGATACAAGAGTCGTCCACGGGGTTGTTTTTTCAACCCAGGTGGTTTTTCGGGCGCTACATAGGTTTGACTAGTGCCAACGTCGAATCTCACGAGAGCTCGCGCAACTAGTTGCTACGGCTTGTTTTTTTGGGGGCTTTTCCGCGGCTTTCGATCATGTGGCCACTTGTGACCCTACTACCCCTTGCTGTTGGATCCATTTGCCGCTGCTTGTGCTGGGAATGCCAGGGCACCTGCCACCCACACAGGCTTTCCAAGAGCCCCTTCTGAAGAACAGGTCCGTGGAGAGCATGCAATTGTCACTTCCTGAGTTGCTGGACGTTAAGCTTTTCGGGTTTGGAGCATTGTAGTGGCAAACATGCAGTTTGGGCATTAGCTTTTGGAGCAACTCGGGCACTGAGAGAAAAGAGACCGAGCCTAAAACTCTTCCAACCAGAGAAAGGACGTCACCTTGTTTTAGCCGGGACCACTGCTCTTTTCGGCAAGAGATTCGACAACCCCTTTAAAACCAGAGACCTGAAAAGGACGTCACCCTGTTTTACCCGTCACGTCTCTTCGCAAGAGATTCGACGGAGCAATCCGCCAGGGCCCTTTGTGGAGATCGCCAAAGGCCACACCCGGCCTTGGAACTTCTGCAGGCGAATCCCGTTTCGTGGTGATGTTCTCAAGATACCCCATGTTTTTGTTGGTTTTCTCGGGCATGTTTCCATACCCCAGGTGGGATCCCAAGGTATTTCATGTGTTTCTAAAGGAAGCTCACTTCGAACGGCTCAAAGGGTGAAGCCGGCAAAGGGGGCCTTGGGAAGTTCACATGTCGACGGAAGGCGGTTTGCTTTGCAATCTGACTTGAGCTGATTTCAACCCTGCCAGTATCAACAGCTCATGCCTAAATGGGAGAGATGCAATATCATGAAATGCGTTTGATATACTCGTCCTGTATAAGAGAATTCAACCCGGCATTGGCCGACTAGCTCGTTGCGCCTGTTTCCGGTTGATTGGATCGTTGCCTTCCAAAGCCACTCGGCCATCGAAGCACGCATGGCGCTTCGATGTTTGAGGAGCTCTAGGTATCAGGCCATGTCCGCTTACAGACGGGCACGCCACCAAGCATCGACCATAAGGATTGTTTCATGTTGTGCACAGCCTGGAAAGCAGCTTGGGGGGATTCCAGGAGCGTTCAAGGGAATCACTCAACCAAAAGGGGGCCAATTGTGCCATCTACTTTCAAAAGGGGTTCCTTGATGGAGGCATTCCAGGGGGAGTGTGCCACCATCCCCGTACCCAGCAACCCGAGCCACCTGTCCAGGCAGTATGCAGCAGTCTTTGTGGAGCACCTCAACAGAGCCTTGGAAGTACTTCCGGGGGCGAAAGATCCATCGAAAGTTGGATTCCTTTAACAAGTCATGAGACGGAGACTGCCATGTAATGATTTAATTAATACATGACATGAGCATACATGAGCAACGGAGAATATTTTGTTGTTCATTTGGAGAGGGTGTGGGGGGCCTACCCAATATCTAAACACAGGCGCCTACCCAATTGAACCGACTGTCAGTAATATTGTCGGTTGCTCATAAATATGTATATATATATATATTATTTGTTTATACAAAAGTAATGTGTGTATCATCCAAGGGCCCCGTTTACCATGCGGGACCGACGCTTCGAGAATTATGCATGTCGCTTGCAAGATGGGTCGCCTAGTTTGGCCCCGGTGATTCATATGCGTATATGTGTTTGTTTGTTGTTTTTTTTTTCGTGTTTGGTCGTCCGTGTCTGCTTGTTTCGTTTTGTTTGCTTGCTTGCTTGTTTGCTTGAATGCTTGGTTGTAAGGTCGGTTGGTGTTTGCATTTGTTTGTTTGTTTGTTTGTTTGTTTGTTTGTTTGTCCTTTTCTTTGTTTGTCTGCCTGCCTGCCTGCCTGCCTGCCTGCCTTCCTGCCTTCCTGCCTTCCTGCCTTCCTGCCTGCCTGCCTGCCTGCCTACCTGCCTGCCTGCCTGTCTGTCTGTCTGTCTGTCTGTCTGTCTGTCTGTCTGTCTGTCTGTCTGTTTTTTGTTTATATGTTTCTTTGTTCTTGGTTTGTTTGTTTATTTGAGTCTTTGTTTCTTCCTTTGTTCCTGTGTTTGTGCGTGTTGGTTTGTAGAGGTGAGTGTTCGTCTTGTGCTGTTGTGTTGTTCTGTTGGTTTGTTTGCTTGTTCCTTTTTGTATATATTTGATTATGTATTTATATATTTCGTTATTCTTTGTTGCTTTTCTTTCGTTCGTGTTTGTTCTTCCGTTCTTCATGTCGTTGTTCTTTCTATTTGTTTTGCTTCTGTGTGTCTTTGTGTTTTGTTTCGTGCTTTTGTTTGTATGTGTTTTTTGTTTGTTTCTTCGTCGATTTATTTGTTTGTTTTGTGTGTTTGTTTGTTTCTTCCACAGTTGTTTTGTTTATTGGTTGTTTGTGTATGTTGCCTGTTTGTTCGATTGTTTGTTTGTTCCTGTCTTTATTCGTGTCTTTGTTTGTTTCTCTGTTTGCTCGGTTGTGTGTCTGTTACTTGGTTTGCTTGTTTGTATGCTTCTTTGCGTTGTTTCTGTGTTTCTTTCTTTGCATGTTTGATTCTGTGTGTGTGTGTGTTGGTACGCTTGTTTTGTTGTTATGTGTTGTTTGATTTGTTTTGCTCTGATTTGGTCCGATTTTGTTGGTTTGTGTGTAGTTGTCTTGTTTTTTTTGGTGCTGTGCAACAGCGTATATTCTAGCAACCCACAAGTTCATGCCAACGCTTACTGTGTTCTTTATTACATATGTGCATATTCGCTGCTGGCTGGCGATGTGATACCAACACATACACATTCTTTGCTTTGCTTTGCACTTCTGCCTTACAGGGAGCAGAGTATTAGTTGTCTTATGGTGTATTGCTACACTTGATGGGAAACTTTGAACCTAGCTACAACTACCATGTACCGCTGCCAGCTTGAACAACGTAGTACGGTGTCTGTGTGGGCAGGTCTCAAAATGAGTGCCCAAAGGGATTGGCCCTTGCATTGGGTGTCCTTTCAACAGCTCTTGGTGGAACGTGTGCAACTTTGACGGTGGCTCATATCCATGAGACCATGGCTAAGTGGTGCGGGCATGAGCTTAATAGTCACCCATTTAGTGCATTCAGTGAGCATGACAACATGTGGGTGGCTCAAAATTAAACAGGAGGGGTTACACAGGTTTTGGTCCATTCCACTTACCAGGGTTCCATTTGGGGTACCGGTGTTTGAGCCACAGCCATGTCTGAAGATCTTTGTGAGAATACGCACAGTGGGGAATGGCGAATCTCGAGGTTGGCCGAGTTTGGGCTCCGACCTTTGAGTCCAGGTTTGGATGCCGGCCGGGTCGCTACCATGAGGCACTTCCCATGTTCCAAGGCTGATATCCGTCCATTTGTTCAGGGCGTTTTGGAGAAGGCCGAGGTTGGCTTGGAGAAGACTGGTTTGCGGCGGCCTCATGTTGAGGTCAAAGTCAGGCGGCCAGGCCTTTCTTGGAAAGACCTCACCATAGGGAGGCTGGTCCGGGTGGAAAGGCTTGAACAGGCTCAACAAAAACATACCTGGAACCTCCGTCCGGCCAAAAATTTGGCCGCTTTGCGAACAGACATTTTGGCCGGAAGGAATTTCCACGTATGCCCAGTTTTGCAGTCAACCAACCAAGAAAAGATGCCCTTTTCTCCCAGGGCCACTGGGCGTTTGAGAAACCCTACCCAGTTTTTGCCTTTGAGCTAAGAATCCGAATGCGTCAAGGACAGAACCACTTGGAGCTGTCGGACCTTTCGCGGAGCCAACTTCAACTGCAGGCGCTGGCCGCGCGTGTTTTTTTGGCCGGGAAGTTCAAGACGTGGACACGTTGCCAACCTGGACAACGGCAAGTGGGCCCGCGAAAATCAACCCTCCCTCTTCGGGCCTCCTACTTTTGACTACCCGTAAAACCCCCCTGCTGTGCACTGATTTAGGTGCTGGCGCGTTCGGGGTCAACGCTGTGTGGCCGGCAGCCAGTTCAAGAGGTCTGTCCCTCCCATCATGAGTCTTTCGTGCCAGAGTTGAACGATTCCTGGCCGATTCTTGTGATATCGGATGTAGGCGATCAATCTCAATAGGGAAACCTCTAAGTGGTTGGTGTCCTTTGTGGTTGTTTTGCTAGAAACATAGATGGCCCTGGTTTACCTGGTGGTTTAATCATCTACCAGGGCCATCTATTTCCCCTAAAAGGACACCTATGCCTCTAAGTGGTTGGTGGACCTGAGGCCCCGCCGAAGTCCACCAAAGGGTCCCCCGAGTAAACAAATCACACCCATGAGTCGTTGGACATTGGTGATTCCCAGCCCCAAAGCCCCAAGCCGATGATCAAAAGCCTCTTTCCTGCTTGCGCGCGTGAGCTCGCTTCAGCTGCTTGAATTCCCTTAGCTTCTTAAAAAATACAACTTGGCCATCAGAACCACGGAGCAACTTGGCCATCAGAACCTTTGTTCAATCAACTAAATCCTTCCCTTAAGAATATTGCTTGCTTTCCCCTGGTCTTAAAGGGAACCTATCACTATTCCACATAAGGAAATCTATCACTCTTGCACATACTGTGCATGGGTAAAAAATCCTGCACCACTTGGAAACCACGGTTGAAACCATTGTTTGTTGGCATTTAGAATGGGAATCATCCGAAACCAGGGTCTCTGAGGTGGTGCGGTTCATGGATTTCGTCCATCCACAGTATTTCCGATTTTTCCCTGACTTCAGATGGACTCCCGATCCCTGCTCACGCCGCTTCAGTCGATGGTGGACGAAGCCAACCGACTGGAGCAAGACCACATTGCGCAGATGGCCAGGGTCCCAGGGTCCCAGGGTCCCAGGGTCCCAGGGCCTGGTGCCGGGGGTTGGTTCGAACCGAAAGTTTTATATTTTGTTTCTTTCCGACCCTCCCGCCAACTAACGTGGAACCGCACGTTTTCGGGGTTTCTGGCTTGGACCATGTTCCTTTCAAAGCGAACTGGTATTAGTGTTTTTTCTCCCACTAACAACTGAAACGATGGTTGTTTTACTCCACCCCCCCAACAAAGTGACCTGATTTATTCTACCTGAATATGAGCTAGGGACCCAGAATGGTGGACATTATTTCGGTGGGGATTAGTGTCCACCAACCACTTTTCAAGGGGTTCCAACCAATAAACATCATAGCCAAATGATGGTTTTTTGCAACCCCCCACCAAATGGAACCTGGTTGTTTCTACTAGCTAACATGAAACCTGACGTTCGGGTCCTGGCTTGGAGCATTTTCCTGAGAAAAGAGACCCGGCACGTCAGGTTCCATGTGAATTGGTGGGAGGGGAAGCATGTTAATGCAGCTTGTCAAGGTGGGGGGTAAGATAGACTAGGAACAAAAGCAAGCATCTTCCAGTCAGACGTTCCTCAGTCAACACCTCGGTGCTTTTTCAGGCAGATGTTCAGACGTGCGAAGTTCTTTGCGCCGCGTCTCGCTGGTGAGAATTAATCCAGTTCAAGGGGATGAGAGCATGATGAGTAGGCTTAGACACCGTGGCCTTTGCAACCTTTGCCCTTTAACACCACACGTGCACAAAGGGTGCCCTCAAAAACACCCCTCAAAAACACCCTCAATAACACCCCAAACAAAGAACTCATGCGCACACGCACATACACAAATGAATACAAAGTGGACATCGGGAACCTCAATTCGTACTTCGAGAGAAGAGGGAGTTGTTTCCGCATTAGAATGGGACACTTGATCACTGGCAGGGAGGGGGTTTAAGGTAGCGCAGTATACGCTATACTTGTTTGTGCCGCAGCACCACAGTAGACCAATTAGCTGCTTCCAAGCAAACGTGTTGTACCTTCTTGATTGATCAATAGTGTGCATGTGTGTGTGTGCCTCATTGAGTGTGAGCCTCTTGTGCTTTCTGTATATAGACGAATTGCCCTCATGTCCTCTCCAGAACGGCTTGCCAAGCAACGTGACGAGAGCCGCGGCACGAGAAGTTGTTCTGACCAGAGAGATGAGTGTGGCTCAAATGAAAAAGAGCTATCTTACACAAGTTTTAGTTTACCATTTTAGCCTGTCCATTCATCCATTTTTTCCATTTTAGTTTACCTTTCAATTCGTTATCGTCTGTTCTTTCCATTTACCAAGGTACCATTGTGGGTACCATCTGTTGACCCACGGCCAGATGACTCAATTGATGGCCTGATGACTGCTTGAACCAAAGGGTCGGAGCAAATCCATGCGGTTTGGATCAAATTCGCCATGAACGACGGTCTGCCTTGACTCCTTGTGGTCTCAGAATCCGAACGAACGTCTTCCCCTCTCCCCCCGCTTTGGTGGAGTTGAGCTTCTTTCTTCTGAGCAACAGCTCCTGGTATACCCTTGTCCTTTTGGGGATGTTTGGCTCAATGTTTTTTTTTTGTCACGAAGGCAATCTCTAAGAGGGCAAGCAAAGTACATCCTTTATGCAGCCAACATGGGTCTTTTCAGTGTCTCCAACGACTCGACCAGATACGTTTGGATCCAGAACATCAACAAGAACTTGTAGAAGACGTGCTGTGGATGGACAAAAAATCCCTCACCACTTGGAAACCATGGTTGGAACCATTGTTTGTTGTCATTTAGAATGGGAATCATCCGAAACCAGGGTCTTTGAGGTGGTGCGAGAAGCAGATTGCGTAGCCATCCACAGTCTCTGCGGAGGTTTACACTTCCTTGAGGTTTTTGTTGTACTTTTGTTTAAACTGGGTATACCTGTCAGCCTTAGTCGTCTCTTGCTGGTACTGGTGTCCACAGTATGTGTAATGAGGGCAGGTGGACACACCGACGCCTTAAAAAAGGAATTCCTACTGTGGATGGACAAAATCCAGCACCACTTTCATACCATGGGGACCCATTTGCCGGTATTTACAGGGCAATGATCCGACACCAGGGTCTTTTAGGCGGCGCGAGAAGCGGATTTCGTCCATCCACGGTATGGTTGACCAACTCCACACTTGCGAATTCCTGCGATGGTTGGGCAGGGCTCCTTAAAAGATCAAACCATTTTGCAACCATTCAAAGCTTTTTCAACACCAACATAAAGTTGGACACCGCCCATTTACAAGTTGCAATGTTCGATCGGTGTCTTCACTGCAAGGCTCCCTGCTAGGATCCTCCAGCTTCGAGAGGCTCGCAGAAGTTTTTTTTCGCAGCTGTTTCCTCGGTTTTGTATATATGTTAGTAGGGCAAAAGGGCGCTGGGGGACCTACCTAGATAGCCAGGTGGCTGCTTTTTTCAGTCACTGTTGCTGGTTTTTGGGGTACAGCGGATGGAAAAAGGCAGCAGCTGGCGATCCAGGTAGATGGTTGACCCACCAAGCCGTAGGTCGCGCTTGACCGATCCGAGGACCACAGCCCTGTGGCGCCGAAGGGGAGGCCGGAAGGGGGTGCCGTGGGTTGCTTCGTTTTTTTTTTTTTTTGAGAAGTGTTTTGTGGAAAGGGTTCCTGTTTTAAAGTCAACCAAAGGATGCCTTTTTTCTTTTGTTTCAACCAAAGGATGCCGATGTTTTTTCCTTTTTGTTTCTTTGCCGCTGGACATCTGAGGGGATTCCATGAGTTGATAGTGGAAAGAGTGGTCGTACTGGTAGTGGTATTGATGCAGCGGGAATGGTATTGGTAGTGGTAGTAGAAGTAGTAGCAGCAGCAGAAGCGCTAGTAGTGAGAACCTAGCTTTACAGAGTTGTTGGCCACACATGATCAACCCGCCAGAATATGCATGGCCGCCCACCTGAACATGCGCAGGTGTTTTGAAGGCCAGGCGAAACAGTACTCCGTGAACATTCCATGCTACTTACATCAGTCAGTTGCTTCGGGTCTCATCCTAGGACATGGCTCCCATCTTGCCCATCTCTCCTGGAAGTATGCTGGAGCTTCCCCCTGGAATTTGGGGCTGGGCTTCAAGAAAACACTCAAAACTTGGCCGCCAGGGTCGGCTGGGCGTGGGGCTCAGAACCAATGACTCGGTCGAAAGCTCGAGGCGTTGGTTTCCAAGTTCCACAAAAACCGATGCTATGCAAGCCTGAGGGGGGTGCCTGCCTTGGTTCACCAAGCTGGTTTTGCGGATGAAAGTCGCACGAGTCGAGGTTTGACTCCTGGCGATCTAATTTGGAAGCGTTGTTTTCTGCATGGCAAAAGTCAGTCCATGATCTTTTTCTCGGACAAGCCATGGTAACCATTGACTCGTCTCTGCTTCATGTGTTGACAGATGAGATCAGCGAGCACGAGTATTTTGAGCGACTCCTCCAACCTGGTGATGAGACGAACAGAACTCCTTGCATAGGTGTCGTTTTGGAGGAAGATGTGTTTTCTTTGGCCTAGGCGCATATCAGATCAACAGGATCGCATGTTTTGTATTGGGTTGGGAGAGCCTCCCTTTGAACTGGGGATCGGTTCTGCAGAAACTCACCCTTGGCAGCGGCTGATGGGCCATCAGACAGAACTCATGGCGCGAGCCTTGTGTCACAGAAGAACCACGAAGGATGGCTGGCGACGATCTCCGTTATTTGGCTGAGAGCCCTGAACATGTCATTTCTAGCGTTTGAATTGCGCCGTCTTTCACGAGATATTGATCGGCGGCCATTCTAGTATGAGGGACAAACCTCAGCGCTCAATGCTTTCCCTCAGATCGGGAATCAGTTGTCCAAAGCCGACCTTTGGACCTTTTGATTTTCCCAATCTTGGGCTCTTTCTTTTTCAGAAATGGTGTTAACCTCCCACCAACTAACAAGTGCAAATAGGTCCTTTCCAAGAGGAAAGTCGTCTTTCTGCAGGGGTCTGTGCACAGTTGCCCATGTTTGGTGGGAGGGTAACCTTTTGTCCAAAGCGAATCGACCTTTTGACCTCTTGGTTTTCCATTGTTTCTGTTTTGTTTTAAGAAAAGGTCCCAAAAGGTTAAACCAGGCCCTTGCGGCACCTGCCCGTTTCCGTCTGGCTAAGGACTCGGAGGACGACTTGGAGTATCGCCTGAACGGCTCGGCACCACCGGCGACGTTCAAGTCGAAACCTTCGACGGGCTTCGCCGGGGGTCATATGGCTGTGGTTGTCAAAACCGTTTTGGGATCCCATTTTGGTTGGTAGGTGAATTCACCACCCATTTTAGAACCTATTTTAGTGGGGATTGGGATATTCACTGGGGATTGGTTGTGCGTCCGAACCCGGTCATTTTGCAGACATGCGGTGGTGGCAACAATGTGTCGAGATTAGAGAGTGTTGTTCTCTTTCCCAGTAGAAGCTGCGCTTAGAGCATCGTTTTTGTGCTGATGGATGATTTGAAGCAAGCCCGATAGAAATGCACGAAATGCGGGGTTATTGCTTGAGACGTTGACAACTTGAACACTTTTCCACCTCTTCCGGTATGCGCTACCCGTTGTTGCACTCTTTTCGCACTCATGGGGGAATCCTCCGGGGTATCCAACAAGTGGAGGCAATTTCGGAGAGGGCGTGGGTGCACATCTTCAGCATTAGCTTTCAGTGCACCTTTCGGCCTTCGGCTCACGCCAGGATGACGATGCTACCTCCAGTCAGGCCCGAACCAAGACAGGTGTCGAAGTCGAGTGACTCTAAATGGGTGCCCACCAAATTTGGGTTCTATGACACTGCACATAACCTGGAGCCTCCATCGTAGCAAAAAATTATGCCTCCCCCTGGTTCGATACACAAATTTACAAGTTGTAGCGCGTTTTCCTCCACAATTGCATTCGAGCATTTTTTTCGAATTCGAGCAGAAATCAAGTTCGGTAGTTTTCTATTCCTTCACAGGGGCGAGTTTGGGAAGAGTCATCAACGAAACGAGCGCACAACAGGTGCAAAACGAGCGCAAATCGGCGCAAAAAGTGCAAAACATTGCAAACGAGCGCAAATCCCAAACATGGTACAGGGAATGGGTTCCGAACAACTCGAGCACTTTTTGTTGAATCGTACATTTATTTTAGAACAGGTTGTCACGAGCAGAATTCTTTCGAGCAAAAAACAATAATGTATCGATGAAGGCTGGCCAGTGGGCTGGCTGGTTGTCTGGTTGATTGGCTGGTTGGCTGGTTGGCTGGCTGGTTGGTTGGTTGATTGGTTGGTTGATCAGTTGCTTTTTCAGGCGTGGTGTGTTGTGTCTCTTTGTTGTTAGCTTGTATGGTTGCTTGCATGGGTGTCTGATTGTTTGTAAGTTGCGTGTCTTTCTTGAACAAGTCCCTATGCCATGATGCTTTTGGCACCAGGCTGTCTGCGGGCGCAACCCTAATTTTGGTCGGAAAAACATTCCTGCATGCTGACGGTTCGTGGCCGCCGAAGAAAATTTATGCCTTGGGACGGCGAAGTGGTTGGCCTTTTGAGGCCATAAGGTCGTTAGTCATGTCAAGGTAGCATACCAAACTAGTCGTTGGCTCCTGTCCCGCACAGCCAAAGTGGCCCCAAGAATGATGCTCAACCGCTGGTTTCGCGAAGATGTTGCGTTGGGCCAAGAAGCCCAAGAGACTCAAAATGCAAAGGTCCTGACTTTATGAGTGGGAGTCGCCTATGAATCGACACTGAGAAGCACTTAATCCGAATCCAGGCTGTGTCATATTGAAGGGACTTTTTTGGTTGGATTCCTTTGTTTCGAGGCAACATTCGACAGACACACTCAGTATGCTCAATGATGTTTTTTGAAGAGCTAAGATATCTCTTTCTAACCAATTCCGGAATGGTTTTATTGAAGACAAGTTTTGGGAAGTATTATTTGAAGTAGCTGGTAGTCTCTTTGAATGGGAATTGAAAGCTGGGCATTCCATTTTCGAGCCGCTCCCGGATGGGCCAACTCTCCAGGCGAGGCTCTCGTCCAAGAGGCGCGAGCAAGCCGAGGGCTTGAGGCAGTTGCTACAAAAGGAGCGCGAGGCATGGGCATTTTGGTTTTTGAGGGCCTGGTTTTTGTGTTTAGGTTTCCAGAGGTTGATTCCTTATCCATTCTTTTCAACCATGGTTCGGTTCAACAATCGGCTGTTTCCCCTGGGTTTTTGGTGGTTTCCTGAAAAGAAGGATTTCTGGAAAGAATGGGGAAGGTACAGGCATACATGGTCAAGGGTTCGCAAGTCCCCCCCCCCCATGGTTCCCGGTCCTCCGGTTCCCCCCCCTGTGCTGTGGTTTAGGGTTGGTCTAAGACTATGGGCATATGGTTTTTGAGGGCATCCGGTTTTCTTTTTGCCCCAGAAAGCTTTGGGGTCGATGAGCCCAGATAGGCTCCGGGCTGCTCTGGGGCGGCCCTGAGGTAAGGTTCCACGAGGGTTCCACCAAGGTTCCAGCAGGGTTCCAGGAGGGTTCCACGAGGTTCTGCGAGTGCTGCGGGGGCTGTTGGGGATATCACCTGAGCTTATCGTGTTCATATTTGTGTTTTGGTGTTTGTTTGAAAGCACTAGGCCACCATGCGTTTGTCATGACGCGAGCATTTCTTGGGAAGCACCCCATTGAATGATGGTTCGAAGGTTGCTTCATAGGCTTGATCGTGCGGCTACTTGTTGGCAACAGACTCTGATTGCTTGTTAGTGACATCAACCTGTAGCAAGTGTCGGTGAATCTGATTGCCACGCCGTGAACGATGTGTTGGCCTTTACACTGAGGTAAACCCTGACAATGTGATAATGCCTCCATACAAGTCCAATCAAGTCCAAAAGGGCTTTCAACAATGCGTTTGGCTTCTGTGATGCAGGTTTCAGCTTTGTCTTTGAAGGCAGCCGTTGAGTGTTTGGCTTGTTCTCATTTGCGCCACTTTGGTAGTTATTGGTTGCTTTGGTTAAGGGATGAGCTTTATGTTGATGCCCCTTATTGACAGGGTCTTGGGAACAGGCAATGACCCATGCAGTTGTACTTCATAAAGTAGAACACCTCAATTGAAGCCAGCCAATATTAGGGGTGACAAGGCCATCCACAGCGAGATCATGGAATGCCTTGCAACTAGGTAGAAGGCGGTGTGTATGTTATATGTTTTGCTACTAGCCCTAAGCCATACTGTTGTATGTTGCAATCAGGCGAGTACACCCGTTCATGGAATAGCCTCATTTCTGCCTCAGGAGAAGTGGCCTGCTCCTGAGGGGGTGGGTCCAAGTCCCGAGGCCTGAGCTGAAGCTGTTGATTTGTGACGCTCTCGGAATCTGTGGCTCACTGCTGGAGTCACCTCTAGCGTTTGACCGTGGGATTGAGCTCTGAGCCGAGCCCTGCCGGAAAGCCAACTCCCGGAGCCGCTAGGGCGCAAACTCGGAGCCGCTAGGGCGGAGGAACATGGTGCATGTGGTTGGCTCCCCAAATGTGCATTGCCGTTGTAAGTATATCCTGAACATGAAGGAGCTTGCAGTGTGTTTTCTGAACCGAAAAGAGGGACAACGAGTGCTCGGTTTTTCTTCTGGAAAATTTTCGGACTGGATTTGTTTCTTCCGCTGCAATCAGGTTGGATGGGCCTTTCCGCGTCATATCTGAGGCATGACCGATGCCATCTCCGAGGAGGACACACTGGGGCATCAAAGCAAGGTCTCCGTTGAATGCAAAGCCAAGAAGAATCAACCGCCGAGCATGTGAGATGTCCAATTCTATCGGGTAAGCTTGCCATTACGCGCCTCGATGCATGTACGTGGAACTCATACCAGAGGCAGGTCAGATACATTGGATAGTCAGAAAAGCCACCGGGCAAGCCCATGAGTCAAGCCCTGGTCTGAGCATTCCGTGCTTGGTTGTTGGGGTTAAGATGAACGTAGATGACCAAAGATGCTGTTTGGCTTTGGGCAACTTGAGCTCGCAAGTGATTGCATGGCGGCTTGTGGCAGATGTGGGTATCTATCAGGTCTTTGGTTGACGTGGAAATAACACCAGTGGTCAACAGATGTGCGGGTGAGACAAAATGCGGTCAAATGAAGGTCAAAGGAATTCCAATACAAGAGCATCGGGCCTTCTGGAATGGGTTGTCATACAAGGGGGCAAATTCAATACAAGAGAAGTATCTATCACATCGGCCCCATTTTCTTAAGGTGGCTTTCAGGGCTGACAACAACCTGCAGGGGTTCCTCTCAAGTTCCTTTTTGGCCCTAAGAGGCATCAATGGGACTTCTAACAGTCTCAATTTTCGGTTTTAGGGAAATCCGGCGACCTACTGTGGATGGACGAAATCCTGCACCACCTCAGAGCCCCTGAAAGGATGATTCCCCTGTAAATGCCAACAAATAATGGTAGTACCCATCCGCAGTATGAACTGGTTGCCATGTTTGACGAGGCGCTGACAGCGCAGGACCAAGACGTACCTATATCGGTATGAGAGAGGCGCGAGGCTGATTGGAGTTTTGGCTTTACACGGAAATCAAAGAGAATCCACCATTTTGAGGGAAACCCACTTCGTTGTGTTTGATAGGCAATACTGATGAGCTATGGCTAACAGTTAGATGGCTGCTGGTTCATGAGAAAGACAGGATAGGAGAATCTTTCGCTGGCAGCGACCATGAAACAAACCAGCGACCTGTCCCATGTTTTGACCACATACTTGTGATGCCCAGCGTTTTTTCTGGAGATGTGTGACCGGAGGTTCAGCTTAAAGTGTTGCACTCAGCTGATGGTGTCACTCTTGTGTGCTAGCTTGAAAACTTGACACCGACCGCCGAGGCAAATTGACATTTGCGTGTTGTTTTGTGTTGTCCCAACATGCAAGCCTGGCAGAAAGGCTGATACAAATGCGAACCCCCCCGCCCTCCAATGATGCAGGCTCGGTGTTGTTGTTATTTAGGACATTTGTGTCATATCTTTGTTGGTCCAGCGTTTGTGGCCTTCTATTTATTGTTTGATTTGTATACATACATGTATGTATGTAATGTATGTATGTATGTAATGTATGTATGTATGTATGTATGTATGTATGTATGTAATGTAATGTATGTATGTGGCTTCCGTTCAAAAAGGCCGGCTAAGCAGCTATATACAGTATGTTCATAATTCCTGTTGCATCTGGTTTTTTCCTTTTCGACATGAAGCGGGCCCCCACCTAAATCATGCAAATCCCACTGGCAGCGCTAGCTTCGCGCTAGCTCGGCGCTAGGTCGGGGACGTTAGTTGACGTGGCACGTGAGATGCGCACGCATGGCCCTTCTGTCCGGTGGCTCTCAGCGCTCGAGGCATTCCTTGCTTGCAACGCGAAAGTGCTGCGTCTGCCAAGAGATCTGCACGTGTCTTTTGCGAAAGTGACGCGCCTGCCATGCCTGCCCTTCCGAAAGCGTTGCGCCTGCCACGAAATCTGCGAAAAATAAGAAAACATGGGCAGTTTTTCGCGCTAGCTCTGCGCTAGCGCCGCGCTAGCAGGCAGTTGCCAACTTGAACACGCGGGCACGTGCCTGGTTGGAGGCAATACCCAAGAAACCACTTGCATGTTTCTTGGCTGTGGTTGGTAGTCAGGCCAAGTAAAGCTATATACGCATTTCCGTTTTGCTACTTGCTGAAGATGTGGTGTAGAACGTTTGGATTTATTGTGTGATTGAATATCCTATAGCAGCAGCTTTAAGAAAAGGCCCGCGCTAGTGCGCCTGTCAGTGGTTTGCACGTTTCTTAGTCAAACGTATTGTGCCGCAATGGTTACGTGTTCATATGGCCCGAATGATACGGGCCCCCATGGAATGGCGATTTACGCTACAAAACTGGGAGCCACCATTTTGACAACCAGCCATGTATGTATGTATGTATGTATGTATGTATGTGTGTAGGTAGGTAGGTATGTAATGTATGTATGTATGTATGTATGTATGTATGTATGTATGTATGTATGTATGTATGTATGTATGTATGTAATGTATGTATGTAATGTATGTATGTATGTAATGTATGTATGTATGTATGTATGTATGTATGTATGTATGTATGTATGTAATGTATGTATGTATGTATGTATGTATGTATGTATGTATGTATGTATGTATGTATGTATGTATGTATGTATGTAATGTATGTATGTATGTATGTATGTATGTATGTATGTATGTATGTATGTATGTATGTATGTATGTATGTAATGTAATGTAATGTAATGTGTAATGTAATGTAATGTAATGTAATGTAATGTATGTATGTATGTATGTATGTATGTATGTATGTATGTGTATGTATGTATGTATGTATGTATGTATGTATGTATGTATGTATGTATGTATGTATGTATGTATGTATGTATGTATGTATGTATGTATGTATGTATGTATGTATGTATGTATGTATGTATGTATGTATGTATGTATGTATGTATGTATGTATGTATGTATGTATGTATGTATGTATGTATGTATGTAATGTATGTATGTAATGTAATGTAATGTAATGTAATGTAATGTAATGTAATGTAATGTAATGTAATGTAATGTATGTATGTAATGTAATGTAATGTAATGTATGTATGTATGTATGTATGTATGTATGTATGTATGTATGTATGTATGTATGTATGTATGTATGTATGTATGTATGTATGTATGTATGTATGTGTATGTATGTATGTATGTATGTATGTATGTATGTATGTATGTATGTATGTAATGTATGTATGTATGTATGTATGTATGTATGTATGTATGTATGTATGTATGTAATGTATGTATGTATGTATGTAATGTAATGTAATGTAATGTAATGTAGTGTAATGTAATGTAATGTAATGTAATGTAATGTAATGTAATGTAATGTAATGTAATGTATGTATGTATGTAATGTATGTATGTATGTATGTAATGTATGTATGTATGTATGTATGTATGCATGCATGTATGTATGTATGTATGTATGTATGTATGTATGTATGCTATCCTCACACCCCGCCTCCCCTCGCGGGACCCACCTTGAAGATGTAGAGCTGGCCCTTCAGATTCCTTTGGAGTAGTGGTCAAATACGTGCTTAGGAAAGGCCTGAAATGAATTTTTATGAAAAAGTTCAACAAATAATTTCTAATTTCATAATAATTGAAATCCTACGTAAAATTAGCCTTGCAATTTAACATTTGCCAACCAATAGAACTGAAGTTGGCCTTTTCATGAGTTTCTGCAGGTTTTCCTTTGCTTCATGGGGCATGCGCATTAGAAGAAATAACCAGCTTGTCTTTCCTCAATGGATTCCATTGAAATTCCAGTGCATATCCTACTTGGAAAGAGAGTCCTGTTAGCATCATTCGGTGATTAGGCTTCGGCAGCTTTGGTGCCCGGGAGATTTGTAAATGCTGGAGGAGCGAGCCTCGCATCTGCGCGTGGGTCATTTCTGCAACTGGAAAGCGGACTCTGTGTTGGCAACGGCTTCTGCTGAAATCGTATGTCACGGAGCGAACATACAGCGAGGCACCTTGACCTCTACAGCTTTTCAGGAGTTTTGGAACTCCATCCATCGCGGCCTTCGTCTTCTTCGCCGCCTGCAACCTCGGGACATGTCAGCTTTGGCCCCAACTGCCGCGACCATAACTCCTGCACGGGAACAATCTCAGAGCAGCGCGCCTTGATTTTCCCCCGGCGGCGTGTCGCCGCTTCAGTGGCAATCGGTTGCCTAGGTAGGCGAGACCGGCGCGTTTCCAAGGAAGAGCTGATTGCTCAGGTGCTGGAGCGGCCGCGAGTGGGATGTCTCACCTGGACAAACTGTTTGTTTGCGACGCTGTGGGTGCTTGCAACCATACAGGCCGCCGCGCGCAACGCACGCGAAGCGTCTGACAACTACTTACTTCGCGTTTAGCGGTGCTGGGAGCAGGCTAGGATGGCCACAGGCTTGCTTTTGGCTGAGCCGCCTGGGCGAGGCTTTTGCCGCAACGTTGCTACCGCAGCAGCGCTCCGACACTTCAGCCCGCTGGCCCTCTTCTTGCAGAAGGCCTTCACGCGAGAGTCTTTCAGGCAAAACAGCCGGATCTCTCGTCCTCGCCTAAGGTGTCACGCAATGGTGTTGATTTTTGCGCTGCTACATGCTGGCGGATGCTGGCTGATGCCTTGGAAAGAGGCGTAAGTAGGAGAATTCTTTGCCGTTCCGGCCGGTCTCTTCGATACTGACCTTTTTGTGAAACACAGACCTTCACCTTCAAGACGGTCATGTTGCGCGTGGCGCACCTTTCGAACCACAACTGGAACTGGGGCTGCAATTGGCCAGAATCGATACCGCGAGTTTGCTCGCACAATCCTCCATCCTTCGTGGCGCCCAAAGGGCTTTGTGTGCACGACAGGTACCCGAGTCGCACCCAATTGGATTCTGCTTGATGTTTGTGGATCTCTGGCTCTAGCAGCTTTCGGGCCGCGAGCGCCTGTTGCAGATGATGCTGGCAATGCTGGCGGTGCTGCGTCGTGTTTGCTGGACATGTTGGCTGGTGATGCTGGATGTCGTCGGTTCTGTATGATGACTGCATTTTTGCACGAATTTGGTATTGCGTGTCGCATGCATTTTGGCGTGCAGTTTCGTGTGGCTTTTGAACGCGTTCAGAAAAGTATTTGAAATACATACAAAAGGCATGCGGTGTGAATGCACCACTTTGTGTGCAATTGGTATGCGTTCTTTTTTTTGGCTCTGGCTGTACGCGTTTTTGGCTCTGGCCTGGCTGCTTTCAGACATCATTTTGTACGCGCTTGCTACGCCTTCAAGCTGTTTTTTGTATTTTAGTTTTGCACGCACTACGCAGGACAGCCCCAGCGGCCAGAATGTAAATTTACAGCAAACTTCCCGTTTGTTCCTCTGCCAGAAGGGCGTCTGATTTTCGTCAACCCTTCAGTTTTAGTTTTTTGGACGGTCCTTCAGTTTTAGCTTTGTCGCAAGGGAATGTGGTTCTTGATGAGGGCGGAGTTTGCAAAGGTACTCCTTAGCGGTGTAAAGGAGTTTCTCTTGCAGTGAGCGTGTCGCATAGCTTCCATCACGAAGGACATTTGGTTTGGTTGGAATTGTGAGGGCCTCTACTGTGACTGGCAATTGTGCTCGCGTGGGGCACCCTCTTGCAAAGCAACATGGAAGTCAAAAGAGGCGCCTCCAAATATTTGACTCCTGCTTGCAAGAGTATTTGTTTGGTTCCATATCAGTTTGGGAAGATGAGTGTAAATACAGTGTTTTCCTGCAATTCACATTCGGGGGAGGGGGGGTAACAACACATACACACGCATATATATATATATATATATATTTATTTATTTCCGGCCAGTCCCGCCTGATTATCGACCTTCTTGTTTTTGAAGGCATTTTACATGGTCTTGCGTGTTGACTGTGCATGTTTTTAATGCCAGACTGTTTGGGGTCGGTTTTTTGTATCAGAATCCCCTGACCGGATTCTCTCTGGGGGCAGCGGGCACGAGAAAAAACATGCATGTCACAGGGTCTACGCTTGCAAGTTGCAAAAGCACATTTTCATGGGTTTTGGGAACGCACAATAGCTAAAGCGTATGTAGGCTCGATTTGACTCTTCCTAGTGCCCACAAGTGCACTCATTAAATAATTTACTGATTTCATAGTAAACCACGAGAAACACGTTTTAGGGACACTTCGAGGAAGGGGCAACTTCGAGATTTTCCTTGCAGGGAGCGGTGTAGCAACTGCACAAAAGAAACGCAAGTCTTCGCAAGGATCCAGGACCTCCTTCTTCCTCAAGAGGGAAACCCAAAACCAGAAAAATGAGACAATACAAAAAAACAACCAAACAACCAAACCCTGGAGCATAATCGCATTTGCATTTTGAATTTTGATATGACTTCCTATCCAAATTAGTTCTCACATAAATCTGAAATGGAAACTGTACAAAATTTCATAAGCAGGAGGCATTGAGCTTGGACTTGTAAATGTGACATGGAACGGACAAAGGTCACACTCTGACTTGTTTGGTTTGCAGATGGAACCTGACACATTGTGACACACAAATGATTGGTGCCGGCAGGTAGTACAGATGACCAAGAAAAGGTAGATCATGGAGTGGCTGAGAGTATATATACATATGTATATTGAAAGATTATATATACATCTTTGTATATACTTACACAATATCATGTCACACACTTTACACATACATACCAAATGCGTATTACACACTCTTTGCAAATCCACTTGGTTGGCGATTGACTTAGCTACTTTTCCCTTCTCAGCTGACAATTTGCCATTCGCAGTTGGCTAAGTCAACTGTGATGAAGGCATTCCAGACTAGAACGCGACTGGCACACAAACTGTCCAATCGTCAGCCGCCCTGAGTCGTGTTATTTGTTGGCGAGCGACAAATTGCAGATCACCGCTCACGGCCGCTTTCGCGCCAGGAAAAGGATGTCGATGCCAAAGTCACGGGGATTGCAGAGCCCAGAGTGCGCTTTTTCACACTGCAGGTTTTCAATGTTGGGGACCCCTTTGTCATGGTTGGTTTTACGTTGGTTCGCTGCAAACTGCGTCAACTGGGATCTCTTTCGAACCTAGTTTACGTCAACGTATTGTTTCTGGAGCTTGTCAAAAGGGGCCCCCCGGTTGGACAGCGTCATGGTCGAACGTGGTCGCATGTGGAACTTTTCCCCGGCCGAGAGAGTGCCCCCGGAGGACGCGCAACTCTTTGTCCTTTTGGCTTCCGGTTTAACCAACCCCAAGTTGGTCACCTTACAAATCACAGCTCTGTTCGGCTCCATATTTTTTTCTTGGGGGGGCGTACCCTTTTATGTGGTTGTTCTTCATTTAGCAAAAATGAACATGGTTTTTGGGGAGGCCCTAAAAGTAAGGCCACACCCAACTATGGCTTGTAGTTGGCCGTTGAAATATGTCGGAATGAGGTGGCTGCCTAAGTTCCGGGGAACAAATGAACAGAAACTCGCTGAGCCACAAACCAATGAGCAAAATGGAGGCTCCCAAGCCCAGTTGTGCCTATCAGCGACCAGCGAATGTCAAGAATTCGCCCATGTTCTATGGCCTTTCATGTTATTTGCCTTTTCGATTCGTGACGAATCGTCATTTGCTCACAAAAATATGTTTTCCCCCTGCAGTTTTGAGCTCGAAGCAGCGAGCAAAGAAGCGGATATGCGAAGGTGATGATTTTGCTGGTGCTCAGTAGGGAAGGAGGGAATGAACCTAGGGGTCGCCTTAAAGGAAACCACAAGGGATTCTTTATAGGGGCAAGATGATTTGACCAGTCGAACTGACTGAAGCGAAGATCCATCCGGGGTCCGCATCACCCGCCTAGGAAGGTTAAGGCAAGAGCGCTCCCCGCACCTGGCCCATGATCCCGCCAAAGTGTCAGCCCAAAATGCTTCGTGGCGAAGCTTCATTTCTTGGGCATCTGTTCTTTTTGTAAATGAATGGTGAACTGCATTTTGTGTAGCAGATGTTAGATGTTGCATGCTGGGGAGTGTGCCTGCAAGCCATTCTTTGGCATGCTTGATTTCTGGTGGACATGTTTTGGACAATATAGTTAACATCGCCTGGTTGGAGTTCCTGTAAGCACGACCTTGCGAACGTCACGGAAGTTTGCGGGAGTAAGAGATGAGACCCAAGCCTCAAGAAATGCGAGTTATCGAACCATTCCACCAAGCGCAGCGAAATTGCCACAGACTCGCTTATCCATGTCGCCTGACAAGCTGGTTGCACCTTTTCCGTGCTTTCGCCTGGACCGAGCGTTTGCAGGTTTGATGCACAATTTGCGTGCTGAGGGCCGCAGAGCGAGTGGTTCGTGCCTAAACAGAAGCTGTCGTGATGTTTAACATGCTTCTCGCACATCCAGGGATTCTGCATGTGTCCCGGTGATTTTTTCAAGTTGGGCCCAAGAAACAAATCCAAAACGGATTCTTTGTTTCAACATATTTGTGTGGCCACCGGACAAGAAACATATGCGACACGCTGTGGGCTTTCTGCCCATGCTCCTTAGATTTATTCACCCTCGACTATATCCCCAGCTGCACACGCAATTTGTCCCCGGATGTTTGTGGCACGGGAGTTGTTTAGGTGATCTCTATCACTTTCCTTTCGGATCGATGTTTGTGAGGATTATTTGCAAAGAAAGAACTTTTTTTGGGCAAGGTCAGGAAGTGATGGCATGATGAATCCATGGTTGTTGGGAAACATTTCGGATTTTTGCTTATGGTTTAGTGGTTGAAATCCAAGCACTTAACTGCTGCAAAAAAAATGCTCCCCTTCCAACGTTTTCGGGGCCTGGAGGAACTGGCCGAACCGATTTCGCGGTTTTTGGGCAGACATGCTGCCTTAGAAATATGCGTAGAGGGGGCCCAAGACGCTACCACTAAAATGTTGAATGGACATGTATTGGAAAGGAATAGAGCTACCACGAAAACGGTTTGCAGACGGGAAGTGTACTGGAGGGGAATGGGTTAAAAAAAACGAAACGAAGGTGTCCGCTTAAAGCGAATGCTCATTTCGACGGCTTTCCGGGGCGCCGGGCCTTGAGACGAAGGCAGGGAAGCGAAACAAAGCTCGTTTCATCGAAATGAACATTGGCTCCTTGAGATATGCAGGGCTCCTTAAAAGAGATACATGTTGCCCATTTGAAACATGTTGCTTTTTCACCAAAATAAAAGGAAACCACAATTTACAAAAACAAGTTCAGGTGTATAATGTAAGGATCCCTGTTGTGGTAGATGAGGAGCAAGCAGAAGACTGTGGAAAGATTACGAGACTACAAGACTGCTGGAAGACTACGGGTATTACATGACCAAAATGCCACCAAAGCCACCGCACAATCTCAGAGATCTGGCAATTTGAACAGTGTCCCTTGCCTCCAAACGAGAGTTGCGTCCTTTGCACTTTTCGGAGCACTGAAAGTCCTGGCCCTGACATCTGACCCCAGAAGAGGTCTGGAAGAATTTTCAAGGGACCCTTGTTTCAACATCTAGGTCCCCCAGTAGTGCCCTTTGACCCTTTTTGGGGGAGGGTTCCCCTACTAAAATAGACTACAGAAAAAAGGATATCCTTATTCTAGCCTCTCTACTGGAGGACCTAGACATGTTTGATGCTTTGAGTTCCCCTTCAAAGAGAACCAGCGGCTTTCAACAGCACACAATCCTACAGAGATCGAGCCCCAGTGTTGTTAGGGCCGGTCACAAAGCCGATTGCAGTGGACTATTGTCAGCCACTTGCAGTTTGCAGCAAGATATATTCTAGCGCTACCAGCGGTGAAAGCTATCCCCACCCCCTTAAAGATGGAATTCGGGGAGGGGGTGACCCCTGGAATTCCATTCATGGTTCCACTTTCCCTTTTATGGGGAAGACTAGATAAATGGAACTGGGGACGTTTCTCCTTATGGTTCGGGCCATTCGACGCCAGGATTTAGAAGACTATGTGTCACTTCAGAAGGAGGTCCATAAAGGACATGTTGTGTCCGGGGACTCCCAAAAAAATTCCCGAACTTCAGACTTTTTTGGGAACCATTTTGGTGGTCAATAGAAAGCTCCGACGCTTTTGGGCCAACATGTGCAAGCGCATCCTCTCGTTTTTTGGCAGAACAAAGTTGCCGGCCGTGGACTCAGTGGACCCAGATCGAGTGTGAAGGAAAGCGATGCATTGGATGCCTGGGTCTCCATGCCACATGCCCAGGTGTCATCCGTATCTTCGCAGAAACCTAGGCACGGCTCCTTAAAAGATCTACATGTTGCAACCAGTTGAAACATGTGGCTTTTTCAACACCGAAATAAGGGGAAACCAGCATTGACAAGTTGCAATGTTCAGGTGTATAATGTAAGGATCCCTGTTAGTGCCCACGAAAGCGATCTCAGGTGTGCCGCCCGTCTGAGACGGGGGGCTCTCCTTAAACAACGCCGAAGGTGCTCGGTCAGTAGCCTGCTGCTGGCTGGCAGAAAAGGGCCTCGGCGTCGCCGGGACGAGGGTGCTACGGTGGGTGCCGTAAATTGCGCAAGTAAACCAAGCACGCTTGACCACAGCACCATGGCTTCTTTAAGGGTTTTGATTGATCCCTCTTGCAAAATGTTTGGGGCATTTGTTATAGAAATCCACCTGTTTCAAGAGCAACAGGAAGCAACAGGAAGGCGGATTGTGTGAGCTCTCTGTTGCTGGGTGGCCTTCCTAAGGCAACATGGTCAACGGGTTTGGCCAGGTTCTTGGAACATGCAATTTTCTCAGGGAGCGGTTGGTGGTATCAGATATGGCCCCCAACCCTAATCATTCTGGTTTGTGCATTTGTTCAAGAAGCTCTTGGAATGACCAGCCAGGGCCAACCAGCCAGAGCACTCTGAAGACGAACGTGAGACAAGATTGAAATTGGGCTGGGTGACCAAGCTCGCTCGGGCTTAGATGATGAGGACATACCCGAATGAGCAGCGGGTTTTCTGCTACACGCCAGAAGTGCTTGCTCTTAGCATCTTGTTTTTGCATTGGCTTTGTTTTCAGAGATCGGAATTAACCACTGCCAGTCGGGGCATTTTGCATTTGGGCTGCACCTGGCCTAGGAGACATGATGGCAAGCTTGTGCTAGACCTCCCCCCAAAGGTTTCGGGGCTAGGCCAATTGCAAACCCTTCCGGTCAACAGGAACTTTAACAGCTTGGACCCCCCATGTCAGGTCGCAACAGCAGCAACCTGACATTGTCAGCATCAACACCGTGCTTGCCTCAGACAGGAGTTGCATGGAACAAGTTGTGCTGGTAAATGTATGCTTTTGATTTGGCCCAATGGAGAACAAGCAGAACACTGGAAGCAACTCAGTCGGATGCCGAGAACTGATGCATTTGCTTGCTGGTGCATAAGGCTTTCTTTAAGGAAATCCCCAGGTTCATTCCCTACTGAGCACCAGCAAGTTTGTTCTGGACTTTGGTGCATTTTGCTTGGATGTTAGGACTTTAACTTTTTGCCAACCAATGGGTTTTCCATTAAACCACTAAGAGTTAGACTTTTAGCAGGGGCCGAGTGGAGGTGTGTGTGTGTGTGTTTTCCCTGGCTCATCTCACCGAAGTGAACCTTGTGCGCGGGCAACCTCTGCATTCGAATGCAGGTGCTCGGCTCTTTGGAGGCAGGGCAGCCGACCCGGGTCACCTTGCCCGTGGTAAACACACTCCTTGGGTGTTTTCGATGGGCGAAATGGTCAAGTGAGCGCCCAAATTTTCCAGGATGATCTTTTTATCTGATCGGTGCGCACCGCTCAAGTTCTTTGAGGCCCTTACCAAAGTTCCACTTGCCCAGGCTAGACTTACACCCAGGTCACCCCCAAAAGAACAACCAGAGTTTCAAGTCTTGGTCAAAAAGCGCGGGACCCTTTGGACCACTGGCCGCATCCAAGGGCTCTTGACACGTCAGGCCCCAGCCTGGCACTGGGCTCTGCAGCTTGCGGAGGCGAAGGCGAACCAAAGGACGGGTCGTCCGAGACCACAGAGAGTCGTGGGGTTCGGTCGAGTTCGGCGAGAGTGATTCGTTTGG